GTCAAATTAAAAGTCATTCCTTCAATTATATATTGCTATTATTTAAAATAAGAAATTTATATACAACATTTATTGTATAAGTGTGTTACAGGTTTATAATAAATTACAGGTGTGTAATATACACTTACTAGTGCATTACATACATATGTATTTATATATCATTACTAGTATAACATCTATTTATAGTCGTTAAATTCATTTATGATGAATTAAAAATGATTTATATTAATTTGATATGACTATATATGTACATATTTATATTAGTGTAAGAACTGTAAATATATTTGTGTCTTAAATCAAACTTTCTTTGGCAAATCTTACAATTCGAAACATAAAAAAAAAAAAAGAATATTCTAAATTTAAATTTTAGTCATCACTTCAATCAAGCAGTAAAATTATTAAGCAATAATGATGTCCGTGTAAACTATACCGGAAATGTTCGCTATTATTTGCCTTATTCAACAGAATCATTATGCAAATTGGATGTAAAATTTTTTCCTTTCGATATGTTAGTTTTATTTTATTGATTTCAATTTAATTTGTCGTTAAATTTTATTAAGTTCATATTTATGTATGCAATTCATTTTACCTATTTTTCAATGTTTATTTTCCAAAATACAAAAAAAAAAAAGACAATGCTAGGAGGAGAATTTCGTCAATTTTATTTCTTTATGAGAAAACTAAGCAAAAATTGCTAAATTTAATTTTACATTATTAAATTAGATATAAAAGAATATGCTAGTTTTCCCTATTATTTTTATTGTTAACAATATTCAAAATTCAACAATTTGAATTCTATGAAATAGTTTGAAATTTTTGCAAATTACCGTCTGATAATTTCATTTTCCTAATCTTAAATTTTAGATTCTTTTTTTTTTTTCTAAAATATTTTTTCAAATTCATACAACATCTTTCTTCCCATTTGCTTTCAGTCAACAATGCACTCTGCTATTTGGTTCATGGGCCCATTCTAACGATTCAATCAAATATGCCTTATATTCCAATCATCTCAGTTTGATTGATTTCTACGACAATCAAGAATGGCAACTTGATTCGGTTGATACTATTTTGAAATAATTTTCATTCTTTATTATTACTAATAATTTTTAAAAAAATCTATTAAAAATTAACAATAAAAAATTGAAAATTTTTTATTGCTAATTTTTCAATAAATGAATAAAATTATTCTTTATAAAAATGGCTAATTATTCATTTGCAACTTGTTGGAAATGATTGTATGGACGTTTTTAATTTACTAACTCAAGATTTCCATTACATACCGTATTTTATCATATTCTCAAAAACTTTTCAAATGTCCTAATTTTTGTTTAAAATTTTTTTACTCTTATTAAATTTTCATAATTTGTATAATTTTACAGCATCTTCAAAATTTATCATGTACTTCAAGGTTTATTATTATTTTCCTAAGATCTGAAGAATTTAATAATTTTCATAAATTTACCACTTTTTAAAATAGTAACTTACTATTCTGTAATCGATGGATTTAAATTGAAAAATTATTTGCAATTTTTAAGAGCCATAGTAATATCATATCCGATAGTTTTCTCTATGATTATTTGGATCCACCATTATTTTGGGAGATGATTATTATGGATCTTGTATTAATTCGACAAAGTTTCTACTATGGTATATTTACTTATTTCATTAGCACTAACTTATTTTAATTTAAATTGAAAAAAGTTTTTCATGAAAATTTTTGAATAATTTCAAATAATTTATTTTTCGTTTCAGTTTTTAACTTAGTTATACCAAGCACAATTATTACTTTAGTCGCTGTTATCGGATTTCATACACCGAGCACAAGCGGTAAAATGAGGTAATACATCATTTTAAACAAATGCAAAAAAAAATTACAAATCGTCGATGCTATATATAAATAAACAAAAAAATGCTAAAAAAAAAATGGAAAAATTAAAAATTAATTTTAATCAAAATTAAGGGATGCAAAATTTCGACTTGGTATAATGACGTTAATGAGTATGAGTGTTATATTACTTGCAATTGTTGAAGATATGCCAAAATTTAGCATGTCAAGCTCTCGAAAAGGACGTGGCTCATTTTCTGGTATTCCATTAATTGGTTAGCATTTCCTTTTTTTTTTTTGTTACTGTTTCAAATTCATCATTGTTACAGTGAAAGAAATTCGGTTTTCATTCCGGTTGCTGTATATAATTTGCAAACAAATAGCACTTATTGATAATTGTTTAAATTAATGTTTTTAAATTAATGATAATTGTTTTTAATGAATGTTCACATTTTTAACATTGATAATTGTTTTTAAATTAATGAATGTTCGGATTTTTAGATTAAAGAATGGAAAAAAGGAATGTATGAAAAATGAAATTGTTGAAAGATGAATGTCCGAGTAAAAGAATCAAAAAAAAAAATTGTATTAAATTTATTAATTTAAATTTTGCGCTATGTGAATTTATTTTTATGAGAAAAAATTATCTGTGAATTTTTACAAAATCCTTTTCTTGTCACAAGCAGTGATAAAAACGAATATTGTCGCGAACTAATGATAAGAATTGGCGATAACATTAATTGAATTTCACAGTACACTTTTTATAATAATTTCATAATGAAGCGATTTAAAAAAAAAAAGAAGAAAATTTAAGAAATTACACTCTTATCTTATTTTTCATAAATCAAAAATTGTTATACTAGCATGTTAATTTTTTGGTAAACTATTGCTATCTGAATTAATTTTGGATCAGAAATCATTTTTAATGAGTATGAAAGGATTTAAAAAAGGGAATAAAGTTGCATGATATTGTTTTAATCATATCTTTTTATAAATGATTAATTCTTCCTCTTTTCTTGAGTGCTTTAAATGATCATGTATGATTTTTGAATTAATTTTTTTTTCTAGGTTTATATTATTTTATTTTATTGGCAATAATTGGTTCATCCACGGTTACAACATCAATGTTTGTTTTTCTGGAAAAAGATTTAAGATGTAGCAATCATATCCCGTGGTATTTAAATTGGCTCTCATTTGATATTAATTCAGAATTTTTGCGGTAATAATTTTTTTTTTAAAATAAACAGGTCAAGTATTGCTTATGTTTCATTAACAGTCAATTAATAATTGATTTAATCAAAAAAAAATATATATGTTTGATTAGAATTAACTTAATCATGAAATAATAAACATAGTAACATTTGTTTTGCCATTATTAGATAAATCATAGATAAATGATAAATCATAGATAAATTTTATAGATAAATGAATGTAATCTCGCGATAATTAAATATTGTGCTTATTCAAATATTAGCTTATTACTATATGTTTATGTTTGTTTTAGTTCTGCTCCTTCCAATGATATCGATAAACGGCTTATTGTCCGTGTAAGTTGATTCATTTTAATCATTTTCAAATATTTGCAAATAATCCTTATCAATCGATGAATGCAAATTGAATTTTTTATAAATTCATTTTATTTAAATTTATGTAAATTCATTAAATTGCTTCCTCAATAATCTAATAGTTCAATATTTTTATTTCAAAATTTTAATTTTAACTAAAATGACGTGCAAAAAAATTCCTCAAAAGTAATCATTTCTAGTTACAAAATATTAATTTGAATATTTTGCAACTATGATTAATATAAAATATCCGTGTACATATAATTAATTAAATATAAAATGTGAAATTAGAGTTATAGAATGATTCAACAACGGTTTCCTCATCAGCTATTCTCAGAGGACGATTCGCAATTACACCCAATTTGATGGCAGATTATAATAATATTGAACATGTATGCAATCAGCCATGGGAATATTTGATTGATACGATAAGAAATATCGAAACATCCGTTAATGCAATACGGTTTGTTTTTGTTAGTTTTGATTTAAAATTAATTTAACTTCTGTTTCAAAACACTGAAAATTGTCAGAAAAATAACGATTAAAAATATTAGATATTTTAAATTATAGTTTAAATTATACAACTGTAGATTAATTCTTCTTTTGTTTTTTTTTTCTTTTTTTTTTTTTAAATGTTGCTTCCGAATCGATGAATGAGGAAAAGCTAAAAAAAAGTAGCATTGCAGTGTTAGTGTGTGAAGGAATGTATTTTTTTGTTAAAAGTTTCCATTCAAATTAAATTATCAAAGAGAATGTGATATTATTAATGATTTATACTTTTATAGGCATTCGGATAATTTAAACATTTCAAAGAAATTAATGTTTTCTAATTCTATAACCCAAGACCTCTTTTTTAATTGCTAATACCATAGATTTAAATATCATTTTAAAAAATTACGAAAGACTTGATTAAAATTCATTCAAATATTGGAACTCGTCAAATTCTAGTGCAGAAATGATGAATCTTATGCCACAAGACAATCTACAAAGTAGATGGCAACGAGTAATTCGACGTCTCGAAATCATTTCACTATCATTTTATGTTTTATTAATTGCTGTAACTGTGTTCCTTTTCTTTTATCATGATTGGTATTGCGCGATTGGACATAGCCCATGCGGTCAAGCTAATCTTAAATGTCCATGGATGAAAACTACCCCAACACATCAGACGTGTTTTTGAGCCTTCTAAATTCCGTAATTCGATGTAAATTGGAATCATGATAATTGCTAAATTATTTCACAACCGACAGTATGGAAGATCGATTTAATGCTCCGTTATCAATTTATCTTGGCACTATTTCAATTTAAAATCCATAAAAAAATAACAGTGTTTAGTGTGCACATTTCCATCATCATGCTTTGTCAAATAATGCATGACAAATATGTCTCACTTAATAAAATTTCTTCAACTGACCAATGTATTTATTCTGTGCAACGCAAAATGTTGTTACAGCATATGGGTTCTATATAAATATTTACAACCGATAATTGTCCAAAGTTACACCGATAATTATCTCTTCATATCCCAGTTATAATGTGTAACTTATTTATAATTTGGACAGGGCAAGTTAAATTACAACTGAAGTGTGAAGTATAACAAAATTTAAAAGGTCAATTTATTTAAGACTTATACAGAATATCGAAATTAGCACATTGCACTGCAGTCGAAATCAACGTCAAATATCGCTATTTCAATTCTTTTACTTGAAGACCTGGCGGTAATGACTGCTTCAATTTTTCAGCCTTCTCCTTATCCTGAAAATCGGAATTTCGTTCTTTTCAAATATATTCTATATGAAGTGAAAAACTGAATTGCTGGTAAATCACACCATTACGTTAAGCAAAACATTTTGAACAATTCTCGAATGTATCAGACTTTTTGAAATTCTTGAAAGACAAAATGTTGTCGGTAATCTCTTGGAATGAGGAACATCCTAATGAGAACATCCCATTAAAAACACTTTCCTACTTGCACAAAAAACGATAAAACCATAAATTTCACAAGTGTTATATGCTTTTAAACAGAAAAATTAAACTTGTATCCATTGCTTGCTTCTTACTCGACATGAACAATTAATATCAGTATAACTAAGCTACTCACTATCAGTAATTCACTGAAAGATAAAAAACTCAAAGAAAGAAGTTTGGCTATCAGAAATGCAATATTCGAAAGTCAGATTATCAATCAATTAACGACAATCAGAAATTTAGGAACCACCACAATAACTGGACTTCATTTCATGTGAAGTGAAAAAATTATATAAAAACCAAATAAAACCATTATAACTAGATTACTTTTACCTGGATAACGAGAGTGTAAAGATATTTGCTGCATCGCACCTTAAATTTCACATTATCCGAATTCTTCTTGATTTTCACCGATTTCGCATCCTTCCTTCGAGCAGTCATCAAAAACTCCTTGATTTCTGTTATTTGCCGAGGCATTTCTGAGAATCCTGAAAGGTAAAGAAAAAAAAAAAACGATCACAAACAAATGAGCAATACTGTCAACTGTGATGATAGAAAGTAATTTTTGAATTACAGATAAATCATTAAACTTATAATGAATTATAATTATGCACCCAATCATACTTTTCAATCTTAACTACAATAGTAATACAAATCATATTTAAATTTCAAGTTTTCACTCAATCTCTCATCCTACTTCAACTCTTCAAAAATACTTTTCCTGATCCGCTATACACTTTTGCCTTTAACCGTTAACTGTTCCCTTCCCTGATCCATTATATATTTTGCCCTTAACTATTGCTTTCCCTAATCCGGCACACATTCTCCATCTTCCGGATCATATCAGATTCTCGATCATTCATACATCTATCGATCCCTCAACACTCGATCACGTATCACACTCCCAACTGCCAAATTCGCCATCCTAAACCTAAATGCCACCTAAATGGTACCGCCTTCGTTCATCCGGCCCAAAATCGGTGTCGTACGAATAATATGGTATGTCCGAAGTTTAAGCATTACTCATTGTAAGAATGAATGTTCGGGCATACGTCAAAGTTTCAAATTGATGCATTGATTTCGAAAGCTGTCTTCTTGGTGGGTGGTTGGTTTGAAATTATCTGTTGCAAAGTTTCGCGAGATATTTGAGAGATTTATTGTAAGTATGAAAAGATTTTAATTATATAAAAAAAACGCCTAGCAAAAATATATGGTAGAATTATCAAGAACTATCTTTTTTTTTTCTATAAAAATAGAAGTTCACCTTTAAGAACTACTTAAAAGTGATGTTTTATTTTTATAAAATTCCTTAGCACGAATTCTAATTTCTCATGTTTAAATTTGTTAACTGTAATGAACTTTTCGACAGTATATCTATTTCGGTTTACTTATTCAAATTACCAAAATTTGGAGATTTGAGTTTGTTTATTATTTTGAGGTGTTTTTGAGGTGATAAGAAAGTTTGAGTGAATAAATATAAAGAAATGGGATTGCTAAATGAGACAATTTCACTTACGTAATACAGCAACAAATAAATTTCCTCACGTCGTGTTATTTTATTGTAATGATCTTTTTTTTTTTTTTATTTCTGATGTATTGATTCAGTTACCAAAATTTGGAGGAAACCAGGCTAGATTCGCGTGTTTGCATTACGTGAAGTTGATTTTGGCGTAAAGTTGATTTACGGTTTTGTATGTTTTATGCATTTTAGCTTACAGTATTCTCGTTAAAAGAATTCGACTGGATCTCATTTGTGGATACATTTAAAGTTTATCTATATGGCGCAATCTCGTCATGTACTCGAACGAATTCAAGAGTGGAAGACTAACTTTGAGAAGCAGGGTGTGTTGATCAAACAATTTTCCCGCTGATAAATAATTGCATAGACAACTAGACTAATCATTCGTTGATCTTACTGGATGATTTTTCAGTTGTTGAATAGCTATGTTTGGCTTTCTAATGATAGTGGTTAGAAAGTAGTTCGCATGGTAGCTGTACACTTTTTAAGCTTGATTAGCTTAGAACCAAATCCTATCGATTGAAAATTAAAGTTATGATTCATCCACATAGATAAGCGTAAAAACTTGATAGTTCGCATAGGTTATGTTTGGTTAGTTTTATAAATATCAAAAATATTTAATTCATTTCTGTTATTCTTATAGGTGAAGCAAAATTAACGGAAATTCGGCGATTGATTAATATAAATGATATTCTTGAGACGTATTTCCGGGAAATTGATCAGCTGCCAGAAGTATGTTTAATGTTAAATTCGACAATATCAATGCTTTTCCATCTGAATTATATTAATAAGTCCATTTCTCAGAAAAGAATGAGTACACTTTGCATGGATGTAACAATGTCTGTCATGTATTTATTTATGAAAAAAAAAATTACTATGCTATTCATCATTGGACTTTAGCGGAATAATTTGGAGCTTCTACTTTCCTTTGTTAGAATGAACCATCATCATTTCTGCGATTTGACGGAATTACTAGATCAGATGTAATGGGCTTTGAACTGTGGAAAAATGATGAAATTGTTAATGTAATTACTGTTATTGTTAGTTTTCAGGAACTCCGCAAAAGCAATTTTTATGAATTTATTTCGAGATGTGAGACTACTGGTAATTTTTTATTAATCGAACTCTTTTTCCATTCTTATAATCGAGTTTTTTTATTTTTCCCGGAAAGATTATCAGATTTTATTTCTATTGGAAATCTTCAGATAATGTTTTAGGCACTATTGTTGATGAGCCTGTCGCTGAACCTAGTGTTAGTCGAGAAACTGAAAACAGATCCAAAATGGAACAGAAATCAAACACTTGGACAAATCGGCTTCGAGGGCCACGAAAATTAGTTCCAAAGCCATCTCACACACTGTCGAACATAAAGACTCCAGCGTGGGTCTAATTTTTGAAAATCATTTTTAGTAAACAAAATGCTTTAGTATGCTTATTTATTGCTTACGGAAAGCATTGCAGCAAAAAATGTTTTTTCTTTATCCTAAAAAGCATTCTTTTTCTTATTATTTGGTTGTTACTATTTAGGTCCAGAAATCCCAAACCCATTGTATTGAAAACACCGGCTGGAAATGTCCGCGTGCCGCGGGCTATAACGCCAAAAGTTCAAGATGGGTAAGTGATATTTTTTTAGATCTAATATATCTTTTTAGACACCAGAATGAAACATGGTGTCAAATATATTGCTCATGAAGCGTATTTTTTTTTCTCTTGATGTTAAAAACGAAAAAAAGGAAAACTTTGGACTCATTCCGATTGAATTCGAATTTCAATTTTCAGTGATGATATTAAGTTTCGTGCTTTGCGTCGAGAGGAAGTCGCATTCTCAGTTGCTGGCACACCAGTAGTTGCAGGAAACGAAACGGAGGGCGATGAAAATATCTTCCTTGTCAATGAGGTTTTGTCATAATTTTGATTTTGAAATTTTGTAAATATTTGAGTTGAGTCTTTCAAGAAATTTATTATTTTGGTGGGTGTTTGAGTAGTGTTTTCCTATTTGCATTACCTTGGTTTTTCAGCTACTTCATGCAAGAGATGAGGAATTAACTCCAACATCTCGGAACGTGGTGCAAGGAATGAAACGACTGATCGGTCGAATCCGTACCAGTGAAATTCCTGAGCATTTCTAGATCTTTATATTTTAATTTACTAGCTTGAAGCTCTGTAAAATTTTTTAATAAAAGAGCATTTTTTACTACTTTGTAGTTGCACTCATGTTTATCATGATTTTGTATTGCTTATAAAACGGTAAGGTAGATAGAATTTATTTGCATCTAGATCTACTTTGAATAATTTACGATCTGCAAAAGCAAAATGGCATAGATTCGCCTTTAAAACTTATGCAATTTAGTTTTAGTTGATCTTTGATTGCTTTGCTTCTATTATTTACTTGTGTTTATTTATTGGCTTGGAATTACCGTCTGGTTTTCCTTTCAATAACTGAATTTATATTGTAAAGGCAACAAAGATCCATTGATCATAAGCGTAAGTTAAATTGCCATAAATATGTTTCCTGTTTCTCTTGACATACATTTAGGTGTACTGCATTATGAATTTGTCTTTGGAATTGCTGTATCTTTCATTTGGATCCACGTATTTAATGTGTCTGTCAGCTGTCGCCGTTGTTTTGACCTAAAAAGATCCTCGCATTGGATTAATTCACTTTTCTCTCATTTTTTTTT